CCCCCACCACCACCACCCCTACTCATGGAGAATGGCAGACCTGCAGGCTTCATACAAGTGATCTCGGCAACGTCACCGAGATCGCTTGTACAAAACAAGCGGCCGCTTCCCGGCTGTACATTTAGCTATAGTTGCCGAAAGCAGGGCTAAATGTAGAAAACAACTACCCGCACGGTGCCCAGAACTGCATGTCCCGGGCATTGGGAGATAGGAATTCCACACCCCTGCTGCCCCTCTACTCCCTGATGCCCCGAGGCCGGGCCTTGGATGGCCTTGTGGGAAATCCGGCCCTGCCTCCAGGGGGGCCCTCCAAAGGGAGGAGATGCCCAGAATGAGAAATCGACGTGAATGAAGACTAAAAAAGACTGCCCGGTAATTGCCTCAGGAGACTAAAACAAAAACCTTTATTGGTTTCTCCATTGGCAACAAGAAGATATGCACAGCCAACGCGTATTGGGGGTCAGGAATCCCCCTTCATCAGGGCTGAAACTAAGAAGAACAAGACACTGATGGGCTCTAAATCTACAGCCCCTGCAGACAATCCGATTTCTCAGACAGGAGTGGAAATCCCTGATGTGAAAAGAGCCTTACCGGTTCCGGGTTAGTACAAGTCTCCTATTTTACCATGGCGCGCTTGCTAACTGTTTCAAGAGTTAATTTAGCCGCAGGGCCATAAAGGCTCTGCTGTGCTGAAGATAAGACACAAAAGATACTTTATAAACAATAAACTCTAATATAGAAATATGTTTTACACGTAGTTTTCTATATGTTCTAAATGAGTCGTTCTAAACCACAACAGACAAATGCAAATACAAAATATTATGTTCCAAATTTCTCGGCTTTTTTTTTTTGGCTCTTTAGAAATTTTCAGCCTTTGTAACCTTTTTTTTGTGTTGGGTGAATCCTGCAAGCACGGGATCCGCAAAGTCACCATCAGCCGAGCGCTTTGCTGGCGAATGACCGATCAGAGAGGTAGGGAAATCAGTGTAAAATCAAACAGGATGTGCAGCATGCGGCTGTGCATCCTGGGAGCCCTGGATGTGTCTGTGCGATGAATCAGTGTCACCCGCACAGGGAAAAGCATCCCAATCACCAGTTTGTACATATCATATACGTGTTACTATGGCAGGAAGCTACATGATCCCTCTGCTCTGCAATCTTGTGACTCTTCACTTCCTTGTGGCAATTCTGCCGCTGACACGTTGTCACCCAGTCATGTTGGGATTTGTAGATAAAGTGCAGCTTGAGGGCCAGAATTGCCCACCCCTGCCTTAAAGGGTCAGTCCTTTTTTCTAAAGTGATGTCCTGTATGGACTGGCTTTGTTGTACTCATCATAACCATCACGCATCTCTGCTATCTTTGGCTGTGTGTCCTCCTTTAGGAAACGTACTCGTTTTATAAGGAAGAGTCAGACCTCCTCCTAATGGCGGGTAGGGAGGGGCTAAGATGCAGGTGGGAGGAGCACAGATTGCGGCATCCCAGCATTAATTTATAACTGAAGTATTGGTGTTGGAAGGCAGGCTAGTCAATGGGAGCAGAGGGCCAGTCCTAAGTAGGGCTAGACATATACATTTAGATTGTTTCCATCACTTGATTTCCACATCCACGCTTAACAGTTTGGATAGTGGAATCTCCACTGCTGGCTATTGTATTCAAGCAGCCCCGACACCCATGGCTGCCTAAATACCCAAAAAGCCAGGGGTGTCACTATAATGATGCAGCCTGAGGCTTTTGGCGGCATCTCTATGAGTAACTTGGGGGGGCATCAGGCAGAGCCTTCCAGCCAGAGTGTCCCAGGTTGCTAAGAGTCAAGCAGGGAGATGTGCAAGGGCCATACACATCTCCTCTCCCAGCTCATAGAAACCTGGGACACTCTGGCCAGCATTCCGCCCAGCTCATGGCAACCAGCGACATCACTGGTTGCTGGGAGCTGAGCCGGATGCTGGGGCTGGCATCTCACCCAGCTCCTGGCAACCAGTGATGTCAGGAAGCTGGGCGGTGCACCACCATGACGCCAGCCAGAGCACTGTTGGTGTGCACCACCAGCACACGATCAACCAACCCCACCGAAACATGACAACCAGCAATCACCCCCCCCCAGAATGTTATCACAGGCACCCCTTCCACCTTTCCCCCAGCTCAGGTGGCGTTTATGCTAGGGACACACCTGCAAACAGGGACTGAATCCTATTAGATGCAGTCACTATTCAGCTGAGAATTTGCAAACCAGCTCAGTCAATTTTTAAATGGACTTTTGTCGAGCCGGATGGTACTTACAGGGTCACTCACGTCTCGAATTCTGGCCGATTCAGCAGCTTTCAGCCATAATGTCAGCCGTGTATGGCCAGCTTAGGCAACTCTGTAAGGGTGTGCATTGCCTCTGCTTGGAGCATGCAACTCTAGCCATCCAGCTGCGCTTTAATTACAAATCCCATAAAGCTTCTGCCTCTGGGAGTCGTGTCTGTGGCTGTCAGTCTTGCAATGCCCCATGGGACTTGTAGTTCCACAGCAGCTGGAGGGCTGAAGTTGCCCACCCGTGATTCACTGTAAAAGTACTACAGCACTTGGGAACTACAATTTCAATACAAAACGGTTTACATTTGCTGCTACTAGCTTTCCAATTAAAACGCAAATCGTGGAATCTTCTGAACTGAACTGCAAACTGAAGAGAGGAAAAGAATGCATTCCAGGGATGGCTGCGTGGCAGGGTAGCTTTCCTGATGGTGACAACAGTGGCCTATGTCTGTGCACTGTGTGTAGAAGTGGCCACTTGTAGCCTCCATCAGAAGCCCTGTTTGAGAGCGCAAGAGCACAATTAGGAGCTCACCCCATAACAGGAAGTACCTGAACGAGACCTTCATGGCAGGATCACCAGGGTTTTGTTTTTTACAAACCTCGACAAGTTCAAAAGTAATTTTCAATAAGATAAACACTTACAATATTAATTGTGATACTGATAGGGTATGTTTAGAGAGGACTCAGAAGTTTATAAATCATAGAAATCTATTGAAATTCTTATTTAAAAAAAAAGGGTTTTATAGGATAAAAATATTTAAGAATGGTGCTCATACATAGATCTAGTTGAATTGCTAAATCCCTAAGGTTGATACTAGTTCATGTAATGTTCATAAATCATATAATTATTCGCATAATAACAATTTTCAATACTTTCAGCCCTGCAGCTTTCAGTAAAATATTACCTGGTTATCCTGTCCTTGTGCAGGTACCTCATGTTGTAGGGTGACAATGTTCTTTCCCTGTCTCCCAATTTTGCCTTTGTGTTGTCACTCATTTCACCACTCTCCCAATGGAAGTGGTTCTGTGACCCACGTTGCCCAGGCATGGTCCACTGGGAAACCGGACTTGAGAAATGCCAGGAGGCCATCGCTGGAGTGCATGTAGACAGGAAATGGCTGCATGAGATCGGAAACACTGAGGTGCAACAAAGGATGAAAAAAAAAAAGATAAAAACAAGTTTTTTTTTTACAAAAAAAACTGACAATAGTTTATGACACACAGTGCTTTGGCAGACAAAACCTCTTTTGTTCCTCTACTTGAGCCAAGAAATAGTTTATTGGTGCAAACTATATTCTTCAGCTGGCTAAGCATCACATGCAAGGGGCAAGGGGGCTGCATGTGGTGCCACAGCACCACCGGCTGGACGTGCCTGCTTTAAGGGGTTAACTACTTCATCACAGCACACAAAACCGACTCTCTAGTGAATTTAACCGGTACTGCCTCCTCTACCCCCCTCCTGGGTTTGCCTCCTCCCACCCTGCAGCTGATTGGTGACAAGTTTCTATATTTGGTCCCTATTATTCCGAGCAACCCAAACAGCTGGATTCTGAATGACAGAAGAGACGGTGACACCAGGCAACTGAGACAGGGCAAAGATTGTGCAGATAGCTGAGATAGATAGATAGATAGATAGATAGATAGATAGATAGATAGATAGCTGCCAGCTACTCTTTCAAGAGGAGTATACGGATCACTGCCCCTGGATTTACACATTCTGTGTGCCCACTTTTGCCCACAAGAGGTGCCCAGCTGGAATGCATAGACCTGAGCCAAGTTACTGCACAGAGGAGACTACTCTGGGCCAACGAGGTGCCGGTTCATGGGTACCCCCTCCGCCTGCAGCGCCTGAACCCGGTCACGCCCCCAGCTCGCCACCAGTTCCAGACAGCCCAGCGCCGAGCCCCTCGCCCGGCTATGGATACAGCCAGTCGGAAGACAAGGCCGGCGAGCAGCGGATCCGGCGCCCCATGAACGCTTTCATGGTCTGGGCCAAAGACGAGCGAAAGAGACTGGCGCAGCAGAACCCGGACCTGCACAATGCCGTACTGAGCAAGATGCTAGGTGAGATGACCGGCAGTCTGACGGCGTGCCTTTGCGGCACAAGGTCGACTCCTTTTTGGACCGTAGCAAAATCGAGATTGTGAGAGAGCGGTTTTGGGGGGTTGCGAAATTGGCGTTGGTTATTTGTGGCTTAGCTGAATGGAGGATGCTTAATGTAATAAAATTATAATACGGTGTGAAAATTAAAGGGATTCGATAAAAAAAATGAAAGGGGTTCACATCTGTTTTTGTGTGTGATTGTTCTTAAATCAGATCACTGCGTTGTAGAGCAGAGTTTGAAATTGTGGATTCGCGCTGAGTAATCAGCAGTGCCGATCGGTGGCTTTGGCTCCTCTTAAACCTTAAGTCAGTGCAGCAGCTACAAAGATTCCTACACTTTGTTTAAAGGATTAGTCCACTCAAAAAAATGATATTTCAGCAGATGCTGAAGAGTTAAAACACCTGACGGTATCTTCTGTCCCTTTGGGACTCTGTCGGTGAGAGTTCCCGGGTCCTCACACCTGCTGTGCCCATTACGAGGGACTCCCACCACCCCCCTTGGGTTTGTTAATTTAGCACAAGGAGGAGCTAGAGCTACAAAGGTGGACAGGAACAGAACTGGAAACTAGAGGGGGGAGATACATTTACAGGGTTATTCACAAAAGGGTGAAGAGTTTGGAGAAGGCAGGAGAAGTGAACAATCTAGCACAACATAGCTGAACTGGAAAGTGAGCTGAATTGGAGAATTTTTCCAGTTCAGCGATGTTGTCCTAGATTGTTCCCTTCTCCTGCCTTCTCCAAACTCTTCACCCTTTTGTGAATAACCCTGTTAGAAACCAATGCTTGACTCCACCTATATCTAAAATATGTTTCAGGTGGAAAGAAGGCAGGAGAAGTGAACAATCTAGCACAACATAGCTGAACTGGAAAGTGAGCTGAATTGGAGAATTTTTCCAGTTCAGCGATGTTGTCCTAGATTGTTCCCTTCTCCTGCCTTCTCCAAACTCTTCACCCTTTTGTGAATAACCCTGTTAGAAACCAATGCTTGACTCCACCTATATCTAAAATATGTTTCAGGTGGACCTGCCCTTTAAAACGTGACCCCTCTATATAAGTTCTGTTTTCTTTGGACAGGTACTCTTTAATGATGCTTTCTGATTTCGGCACGTGTTGGATACAATTGCAGTCACGTCGCAGGTTTTCCTGTCTTGTTCTCGGTGTTGCAACTTGCAATCTATTTAAAAGCATATCTGTCACCATAATAACAAAGAGTTCATTGGTGTGCAGGCTGTGCAAGTGGCAAATGTTGTATAGCATGCGCACGGTTATAATGATGCCGCAAACATAGCTGCAATTCCTATAAATCAATCTAATTTTTAATATATCTATTTATTTAAAGGAACGTTCCTTCCGCAGTTGTGTTTTAGTTGCTGCTAGATCCCAGTGAGTAAAATTATTGGATTCATGGTGAAATCTCAGCACTGGACGTCTCATCATTCCATGAGAGATATTGTTCAAGAAACTTTTGGACGATTTCCTGAGGGACCGTAATATTCAGGGATACAAGTATTCCTAAGAATGAGTTGTGTGTAGACCTATATGGGTTGGACTTGATGGACGTACAGGTGAAACTCGAATAATTAGAATATCGTGCAAAGTTTATTTATTTCACTAATGCAACTTAAAAGGTGAAACTAATATATGAGAGAGACTCATTACATGCAAAGCAAGATAATTCAAGCCGGGATTTGTCATCATTGTGATGATTATGGCTTACAGCTCATGAAAACCCCAAGAACCCCAAATCCACAACCTCAAAAAATGAGAATATTACATGCAATCAATAAAACAAGGATTGTACATAGAACAATATCAGACCTCTGAAAAGTACAAGCATGCATATGTACTCAGTACTTGGTTTGGGCCCCTTTTGCAGCACTTACTGCAATTACTTTTGCACGATATTCTAATTATTCGAGTTTCACCTGTATGTCTTTATTCAACCCCAAATACTATGTAACTATGATATAAGATGCCACGGGGTGACTTAACTCTCCAGCGTCCCTCAGCATAAAAGATATGGGCAGAGTGACCTATTAATCAGCATAAAAACGAGTCTTGAAATATTTGATCTTGGTCTGCAGCCTTTTCCGTTATGCTAAGCAGCAGAGTATGTAAAAACGGATATTTTAATCAAAGTAAGGTTTTCCTTTTTTTGCATTCTTTTAAATGTTCATAATATGAGAAGTCATGCAAAGGGTAATAGGGTTGTGCAAAGCGATGTAACCCACAGCAACCGATCCAATTTTAAATGAGAGTTGTGTAACCAGGTCGGGGAAAGATGATGGCTCGTGGGTTGGTATGGGTTATTGCCATTCAGATTAGTTTTACACATGGGATTCTGAGCCAACTAAGTTTATCTTTAAAAAAAAAAATTGTAACCATATTGGTAAAATGATTCCAACACAAAAATGTAATTGGGTACGAACGATGTTTTTAAAAAGCCAATTTGCCTCAGCGGGATAATTAAACGATCGTGTACAATAGGTATTTGCATGTAGTGGTCACATGTATCTGTGTGTATTGTGAAAGTTCTGCTTGTTTTGAGGCTCTATGTGATGTTGTGTTGTCTCTCCCACAGGTCAGTCCTGGAAGAACCTGAGTGTTGTGGACAAGCGTCCCTTCGTGGAGGAAGCGGAGCGGCTGCGTGTCCAGCACCTCCAGGACCACCCCAACTACAAGTACCGCCCGCGCAGGAAGAAGCAGGCCAAGAAGATGAAGAGAGCAGAGACCAGCTCCATGTTGAGAAGCGAGGGCTACCCCGGGGGCCACCCTCAAACCACACTCGCCCACTTTCGAGAACTGCAGCCACTGGCGTCTGGTGAACTGGAAACGTACGGGCTGCCCACCCCGGAGATGTCGCCTTTGGATGTTCTGGAGCAGAGCGAACCTGTTTTTTTCCCTCCTCACATGCGGGAGGACGGTGAGCCCGTGTCCTTTAGATCATACCAGCCTGCCATCGACTATGGACAGGAGAAGGCGCTCAGAGAGCTCGCCATACAATACTCTCCCTCGCCCACCCAGATGGGCAACATCCTTAGGACTCCACCGTCCTCGGCTTTCTTCTACACTCCTCAGGGTGGGCCTCCAGGCTGCGCCACCCTCGGCCAACTTTCCCCACCACCTGAATCTCACCAGTTGGAACCCATGGAGCATCTGAACCCGCCCGAGCTGTGGGGAGATGTCGACCGCAACGAGTTTGACCAGTATTTGAATATGAGCAGAACTCAAGTGGCTATCCCCGGGTACCACTTGTCCATGTCCAAGCTGGCGTCCGCTAGGACTATGGCCTGCGAGGAGAGCAGTCTGATATCTGCTCTCTCCGATGCCAGTTCAGCTATGTACTATAGCCCCTGTATCACCGGCTGAAGCAAGACTGCGGTGTGCCCGAGCAGCTGGTGCCCATGGTGGCAGATGGGTATTAGTGCTGGGCACATACAGCTCCAACTCAGTGTACTGCTGAGTGCCAGGTGCAGATTATCTCTGTAATACAGGGTTGTGTGGAGGTCTGAGGAGGTCACGGCAGGCACACAGATATACGAACACGTCTCAAATACCATGGCAGCAGATTGAAGGAGCACTCCGTTTTTAGGGGACATGGACATGCCCTTCTTCAAGCTTTTACTAAATGTATCGCTTGATCTTGTCTGCTTTCTTCCGTGCTTTTCAAGCGTCTTTTTATCGCTATCGCTCACGGCCTGGGAGATAAACGGCTTTCCTGTGTTTTCTACACAGTTGAATTAAGGAAGTGGCCCTGCTTTGGCACAAACAGCGTGTAAAACACAGCGCGATGGCGCAAAAAAGACGTTGCTAAAAGGCACAGGCGGAATTTAGGAAGAAATGTAAATCAAGCGAAAGCTAAAGAAGAGTTTGCACAAGTCCTTTAAAGGATGCTGGTATGGGTCTAGTGGGGTTTCACCTTGCTGTAGTGTCAAGCTTCTTTAACAGAAGTCAGATTTATAATAAAGTGATCTGGTACAGAGGGAACATGTAGCCTGGGACTGCTAACGTCTACTTTAAAAAATGCTAGTTGCCTGACTATCATGCTGGTCTGGTGGCTTCGGTTTTATTTCTGCCGGATCCAGAGCAAGTATGCAAATCAGGAGTTCCAACTTTGCTCTGAATGAGTGTCAGTGACTCTGAGGCAGTCAGATAACTAGCATCTCCAGAAGGGGGTCAGCAATGTTAGCCTACATGTTAGTCCCAGTACAGATGTACTGTAGAATAATTTCACCCGCCTAATCCTGCTTATCAATATAAAGATATAGGTAAACAGCCAAGAGGAAATTGGGTAATCTAGCAAAAGTCACCCACAGTAATTGTAAAAGGCATCTGGAGGTGTACAACCCCTTTAAAGCATATCAGCCGTTTTGGAGGCTTTGCAATAGGACTGTAGATTGAATATTTTAATTGTAAATCTGACTTAATGTCTCATTATATCAGATTACCTCCGATCCAGCACAGTCAGGCCCATCGCAAAACGGAACTCTGATCCGTTTGCTTTTCCGGACCTGACCGGAGCCGGGGGGTAACCAGATGTAAATGGACGCACTTCCACTTAGATCCAGCTGCCCATAGACTAACATTGTACTTCCGATCAGGTTCACCTGAAACACTGACCGGCGGACCTGATCGGAATGCCCGTGTGAAAGGGGCCTAAATACCAGGAGGTGTCATCCAACCGATTTGGTATTGCAGCAGAGGAAGCCATATTGCGCGCTGAAACAAACAAATGACACTTAGAATACCGTCTTTGACTGCGACAACGATGAGGCTTAAGGCTCTGAGAGCCGAACGCCTCAACGTTTTTATGCACTCTTGCTATATTTAAGGACACCATTTTCATTCATGGTGTTTCTGCCTCTGATATGGTAATTGGGACCTGCCACCTTGCAAAACACCTGAGAAAGAAGGCTCAAATGGAAGCTGTCTTCCTCTGGCATGCATCTGCTTCCATAGGCTGGACCATAACCTAGCATGAAGCACAGGATTTAGAGAATGACAGCTTTCATTGGAGCTTTCCCACACAGGCATGTTGCTCTGTGAGTTGTAATAGTGTGCCAAGTGGTTGAGCAAAAAAACAAAAAATTGGGGGCAAATGTGGCCAGGAGGAAATTCTGCCCCCTACAGCTGACTTGTGGTAGTAACAGTGACACTTAGCTCGCATTCTGATAATAATACAGCCACATGTAGCTTACTCAGTCCCTAAAAGCTGTGTCTGGCTCCGGTTTTTCCACCAGGGCCATGATGGAAAGTGACCCGGGGACTATTCTCTGACCCAACAGCCTACATCCCAAGAACGGCAGGACCTTTTAACCCCCTGACCGCTGGGATTCTGGGTAATAAGTTGCACTGGCCTCTCCTGGTTCCTGAGAGGTTAAACCAGTATTTTATTCAATGTGTTTAACATGTCTGTTTTTTTTTTTTATGCGTATACCCTGTAAACACTGTCATTTGTGTTTTTTTATGAACTTCTTTTATGATGGAGAAAAAAACCTTGGAATAAGATAACAACCATGAGGATTTGACTGGATGATTGTCTAATTACCATCAACAGCAGGTCTCTGGTGTGCTACAGTCAGATATGTCAGTTTTTGTCTTTATCAACCAGTCATATATGCAAATTTTAATTTTACAGAGCAATGAACACAAAACTTTAAAGTAAAAAAAAATATGAACAACTGACAAGCACATTCCCCATTTTCTCTATCTCCGCCCCCCTTGACTCCACCATCAACTCTTCCATTCTCTCTATCTCTCCCCCCATTGACTCTACCATCAACTCTTCCACTCTCTCTATCTCTCCCCTCATTGACTCCACCATCAACTCTTCAATTCTCTCTATCTCTCCCCTCATTGACTCCACCATCAACTCTTCCATTCTCTCTATCTCTCCCCTCATTGACTCCACCATCAACTCTTCCATTCTCTCTATCTCTCCCCTCATTGACTCCACCATCAACTCTTCCATTCTCTCTATCTCTCCCCTCATTGACTCCACCATCAACTCTTCCATTCTCTCTATCTCTCCCCTCATTGACTCCACCATCAACTCTTCCATTCTCTCTATCTCTCCCCTCATTGACTCCACCATCAACTCTTCCATTCTCTCTATATCTCCCCCTTGACTCCACGACCAACTCTTCCATTCTCTCTATCTCTCCCCCTCGACTCTATCATCAACTCTTCCATTCTTTCTATCTCTCCCCCTTGACTCTTCCATCATCTCTTCCATTCTCTCTATCTCCCCCCCTTGACTCTACCATCAACTCTTCCATTCTCTCTATCTCTCCCCCTTGACTCTATCATCAACTCTTCCATTCTTTCTATCTCTCCCCCTTGACTCTTCCATCATCTCTTCCATTCTACCCCCCCCCCCCTTGACTCCATCATCAACTCTTCCATTCTCTCTCTCTATATATATAATTTCCCTTTTTAGTGTGTGTTTTTCTTTTCTCATACCATCCTCTTGGTATCATCTCTCATTCTCTCTCTCTCTAACATCTACCCCTTTCTCTCTGCCTGTCTCTCTTCTCCCTTTTTCCTATTTTTATTTTTCTCCATCTCCTTCTTTCCTCTTTGTTCTCTCACTCTTGTCTCCGTCTCTTATCACTCTTTCCCTGATCTCTCTCCTCCAGTCTCTCTCTCACTCCTGCATCTCTCTCTGATCCCTCTCATCCCAATCTCGTGCCTATCTCTTTCTGTAATCTCTCTTCTGCCATGCTATTAAATCACATCTCTCTAGCGCCATTCTCACACCTATCTATGTGTTCTCTCACACCAGTCTTAAGCTGGCCATACACTATGTGAATTTTGGCCGTTTCTTGATAAACCGGCGGAAATTTGTACAGTGGGTGCCCCTGTCGGCACCCTTTCTCCCGGCATCCCTCAATCAGAAGATCAAGGTAGCCGGTTGGGAAATCTGCAGCTGAAACTATGCTTGCAGCCAATTAGATGCACTTACCTTTTCGAGTAATCACATTGCTATGGAAACAGCAAGGGATTCATCCATTAACACTGTTTAGGGTAAATGGAGGAATCTTTCATATTTTTTTAATTCAGCCCATCCTTCCCATGGATAGGATTCGTCCTATCTCTCTCCTGACTCTCTTTATCCTTCCTCTCTCTCTTTCTCGCATCTCTCTCTCTCTCATGTATCGCTTGCTGATCTCTCACCACCATTCTTTTTCCTGTCATTCATTTTCTCCTCTTTCTCTCTCCCTCTCTCTTACCCTATCCATGTGTATCCTCTTGCCCCATTTCTCTCTTCCTCTCTTCTAGCTTTGCCTTTCTCGCTTTCCCCATTACTTAGGAACACTCTTCACTAAGGTGATAAAAGGTAAATCTGGACCCACCTGTGTGTTCCTTTTTGGGTTCGGTAGAAGCTGGCATATCGATGTAAAATACATGAAATTTGGTTCAGTCAGATTTAGTAACGTATTAAGTAAGTGTTCAGAGGTGAATAGGCTCAGTAGCTGACGAAGTTATTAAATAAGTGAGCGTATGGTGTATATCAGTTAGCGCGAAGCATTATTTTAGGAGGGAAAAAGGGAAAGTTGGGGTGACAGTCGGCCGGGCAGTAGGTGATTTATCAAGGTGCAGATGGACTGCATAGCACCGGCACAGGCTCTGTATGACTGGCACACGATATGGTGCTAAGGTGCTAGAAAACGCTTCCGAATCACTCGCAGAAACTGTAATATGTGTGTGTACATCTACCGTCTCATCCTCATATAAGAAAATAAACTGTATGAAGGGGTTTAATGCACTTCTGTTGTTCTGTCTCTCTACAGTGTTGGAACATGACTTCTGAGGCTGCTCATCCGCTACTCAGAAATATCAGTGGATTCTCTGACACCAATATTTCCACAATGTTCAAATGTTATTTCATTTTACTTCGTTTTATTTTTTTCCTTCTCTTTTCCTTTCTCTATCTTACTTTGTCTTATATCTTCCTCTCTCCTTTTTTCTGTAACCCCCCCTCCCCCTTTGTTGTTGTACCTCTTCCTGTCCCCCTCTTCTAATTTCCTCTTTCTCTATTTTGTTTCTAAGCACCGCTCAGCCTCTGTCTCTCTTCTTTTCTATCTCCCTCTATCTCTGTCTACCTTTTCTGTCTCAATATCTCTAGCTCTGTTTTTCTTATGTCTGTATGTCTGCCTCTTTCTGTATCTCACACTGTCTCCAATATGTCCATTTCACTATTTACTGCATTTAACAGTCACTCTATTTATTTATCTTTCTATAACACTCTCTTTCTTTCTTTCTTTCTTTCTTTTCCTTCTTTCCCTTTCTATTACCCTCTGTCTTTCTTTAGCTCCCTCCATCTTTCTATAGCTCTCTTATTTTCACTTTCTATAACACTCTCTTTTTCTAAATCCCTCCTCCTTCTCCATTCTGTAGCTCCCTACTCTCTCTCCTTCTATATATACATCTCTCTCACACTCTCTCTCACCTCGTTCACACCTGGGCGTTTTACAGCGCGTTCCTACGATCTGTAAAACGCTCAACATGTGAAAACCAATGATTGCCTATGGGTATGGTTCCCACCTGGGAGTTTTACAGCGTGCAGGAACACGCTGCAAAACGCCCTACGCCCAAAGAAGTACAGGAGCTTCTTTGGGGCGTATTTGCCGCGCGTAT